GACAGTAGGGATGAACTTATTTCATCTTGAACTTTTTAAATCAAGCCAAAATTCACCTCTGCATGAATAAATTAGGAGTAGGAGTATGGTTACAATGCACAACAACACATCTGCAGTGGCTGCTGCTAAGGTGTAGCACACAAAGCACACTCTTATTTTTATTGTGTTTACATTTAGGGAGCTCTCAGCTGACCTACTGCGAATGATACCTGACAACAGCATTTTATTGGCTAAGCTGTGTGCATTTTACCCAGGAAGTGCTGCTGAAATCAACCAGTTACATGAAAGGGTGAGCAGGCAACCAGTGTGTTTAATCTAAGACATGTTTTGGATGAAATGGAATGGATGTCTGATGTAGATGATATTTATATGTATATATTTATGATAGTGACTATGATTATGTGTTGTCTGTCATTCAAGTGCGGTCTCCCTTCATTAGAGGAGTGTAAGGCCTTGGCAGAAGCAGCCATGTGTGAAGGAGATTTGTTTTCAGCAGTTAAATTCCACCTGCTGAGCTCTGAACCCGAGAGTGCCCTTCGCATAGGGATAGATCATGTTAAAGGTACTGACAACTCAGTTGCATTGTGTGTGTTGTTGCCTGCTTAACATATAAACAGTTGGCAAGATTCTGATATGCCATTAGTTGGTGTGATTGAAAAAAAGATTTTATATTTTATTCTTAAAGGAGGCAATATTTTACCTTTTTCTTTTTGGTCAAAATTATATTGTAATTTAGCCACTCAGTGATCCTCCCACCAAATCTGTACTTTTCAACTGATATGATGTAACTGCTGACTACAAACATATATGCCTATCCATGTTAGTTCTCACAATAACTAACTAAATAAATAACTAAATGCTTTCTTATGCTTTGCAACCAGTGTCAGAATGAAGAAAAATTTCTGTCTTCCCGATTAATCAGAAACTCTCCTTACCATTCCTCTTCACCAGAGCAGCTGTCTGGTTCTGACTGGACCGTGGATAGCGTTCAGCCAATCCTGGACCTGATGAGTTACATCAGAACCGACCGCCTCATCATGGCCAAGTTGACTGAGTAAGAACATTTATTACTTTAGTATTAGTAGT